ATGTAATGGTACATGCTGTCCACAGGAGGGTCCTCCGTTTCACTGTGGGCACAGAGCACTATCAGTACAGGGTGTTACCCTTCAGTCTCTTGGCAGCACCGAGAGTATTTTCCAAAACCCTAGCAGTGGTTGCCGCCCACCTTTGACGTCTCGGCATCATGATCTTCCCCTATTTGGATGACTGTCTGTTAAAGGCCCCTACCTTAGACGAAGTTATGAGGGCGGTGGACACAACCAGGGAAACTTCTGAAGCCCTAGGGCTCATTATCAATCTGTCAAAGACTTCCCTAACGCCCTCCCAATCCCTCAAGTTAATTAGGGCAAGGCTAGACTCCATACCTGTGTCAGCATATTTACCCGTGGACAGGTTTCACACCATCCAAGACCTGGTGAATATCTTGCTCGTCGCCCCCAAAACCCCCATACTTACCTGCCTGAAGTTGCTAGCACACATGGTGGCTACCATTTATGTTGTGCCTCACGTGAGACTCCATTTAAGGTGCCTTCAGCATCGGATACTCACCATTTATATACCAGGAGCCGACAGCACGCACAAGTCTGTCGTTGTCCCCAAGCATGTCAGTGACTAGTTACTGTGGTGGAACGCCCCAAAGAATAGCCTATCGTGCGTCCCCTTTCACGGCCCGAAACCAGCTGCACAAATCACCACAAATGCATCCTTAATCGGTTGGGGAGCCCATATACAACATTACCGTGCTCAGGGACTATGGACACATCAAGAAATCCTACTACACACAAACTTTCTGGAATTGCGGGCGATGTTCACGCCTGCAAGCATTTTCTGCACCTGATACGAGGTATCACAGTACACATCCTCACCGACAACATTTGCACCGTTTATTACATCAGTTGCCAAGGAGGCTCTCGATCCTGATCTCTCTGCGCCGAGTACATTCGTGTATGGAATTGGGCTATCCAACATGAGATCACTCTCACAGCTGCGTACCTTCCTGGCAGAAACAACACTATTGGAGCCAGTAATTAAGGAAATCATCTGCAAACACTTGGAAGATAATAAGGTGATAGGGAACAGCCAGCATGGATTTGTAAAGAACAAATCAAGTCAAACCAATCTGACAGCTTTCTTTGATAGGATAACGAGTCTTGTGGATAAGGGAGAAGCAGTGGATGTGATCTGCCTAGACTTTAGTAAGGCATTCGATACAGTCTTGCATGATATTCTTATCAATAAACTAGGCAAATACAACTTAGATGGAGCTACTATAAGGTGGGTGCATAACTGGCTGGATAACCGTTCTCAAAGAGTAGTTATTAACGGTTCACAATCCAGCTGGAAAGCTATAAAAAGTGGGGTTCCACAAGGGTCTGTTTTGGGACCATTTCTGTTCAATATCTTCATCAACGATTTAGATATCGGCATAGAGAGTACGCTTCTTAAGCTTGCAGATGATACCAAGCTAGGAGGGGTTCCAAATGCTTTGGAGGACAGGATCATAATTCAAAATGATCTGGACAAATTGGAGAAATGGTCTGAGGTAAACAGGTTGAAGTTTAATAAGGACAAATGCAAAGTGCTCCACTTAGGAAGGAACAATCAGTTTCACACATACAGAATGGGAAGGGACTGTCTAGGAAGAAGTACGGCAGAAAGGGATCTAGGGGTTATAGTGGACCACAAGCTAAATATGAGTCAACAGTGTGATGCTGTTGCAAAAAAAAAGCAAATATGATTCTAGGATGCATTAACAGGTGTGTTGTGAGCAAGACATGATAAGTCATTCTTCCGCTCTACTCTGCACTGATTAAGCATCAGTTGAAGTATTGTGTCCAGTTCTGGGCACCACATTTCAAGATGATGTGGAGAAATTGGAGAAGGTCCAGAGAAGAGCAACAAGAATGATTAAAGGTCTAGAGAACATGACCTATGAGGGAAGACTGAAAGAATTAGGCTTGGAAAAGAGAAGGTTGAGAGAGGACATGATAGCAGTTTTTAGGTATCTAAAAGGGTGTCACAAGGAGGAAGGAGAAAACTTATTCTTCTTGGCCTCTGAGGATAGAATAAGAAGCAATGGGCTTAAACTGCAGCAAGGGAGGTTTAAGCTGGACATTAGGGAAAAGTTCCTATCTGTCAGGGTGGTTAAACATTGGAATAAATTGCCTAGGGAGGTTGTGGAATCTCCATCTCTAGAAATAGTTAAGAGTAGGTTAGATAAATGTCTATCAAGGATGGTCTAGACCCGTGGTCACCAACCGGTAGATCGTGATCTACCGGTTGATCTCAGGGGCTCTAAGAGTCGCTATTGAGCCCTCTCTGAACTGCATGCCTGCACAGTACATTTAAATTTGATTTCCTCATTTGAGGAGCAGCTACTCACCGAACAACAACACAGGTGAGTAGCTGCACGGAATGGTGGGAGCTGGGAGGTTGGGAGGGCTGAAACACACCGGCCAGCTGGCTGTGTCTTTCAGCTGAAAGAGGCTGCCCCGCACTCCAGCTGATCAGGCAGCTTCTCTGCGCCTCCTGCCCACATGGAGTTTGGTGCACCCTGGCTGAGTGCCATGGCCCGCTGGCCAGGCAGCCACTTCTCTTCCCTCCAGCCCGGCTGCCCCGTGCTCAGCCCAGAGAGGCTGGCTCTTACCCCAGCCTTTCTGGAGCCACCGTCCCC